ATTTATTTGTGAACGCCTATTACTAAAGGAGTAATAGTGCACTTGGAAGTCCTGTCAAGTTGAAAAAGACTTGTACAAAAGAGCACACTTGAAGCCTCTGCTTTTATAACACCTGGAAAGTCCTGTCAAGTTGAAAGAGACTTGTACAGAAGGGCCACTTGAAGCCTCTGCTTTCATAGCAACCAGAGCTCGCAGCTTACTGCAATCCTGAGGTTAGATCCCTTAGACAGGTACCCCACGAGCCAAACGTGTAGGCGTAAAGACCCATAGCTCGCAGCTTACTGCAAACCTTAATCAAGAGTGTTAAGCGCGGATTACTCACGAGCCAAAGTGTAGGCATAAGTAATCCCAACTCTGTAAATATAAACTCAAAAAATTTTATGTCTTGGAAGTCTATATAATACTATTAAAGCTAGGAAGATTCTATCACTGTTTAAATTCGGCACTTGCCAAATCTTCGAAATGAAGTGCCATATCACGTGACTAATACAAAACAAAAGAACTTGTGTACAATTTCAGTTCTTAGCATATATGCAATTTATCAAACAGCCTATTTCTTTAATTAATTAATTATTTATTTATTACACTTAATTCAATATGCATATATGATATTATAAACCCGGTTCTAATATTCTAAAGATACCCAAACCTACTTCCATTCGTTTTATTCTACCTAACCCATTTAATCTGTTTTTAACTCAAAACCCAACCCTATTTCTAACATAAACTCGAAGAAACTAAGAGTTATGTTTTCTGACAATAATTGGAGACGTCCCAAATATTTTTAGTACTATAACTTTAATTTCATTCTACCTAACCTATTCAATCCGACTCTATCTATCTCATTTTCCTAATTCCTAATCTAACCCATTTAACCCCAATTTGCTTTACCTATTTTTCACCTACTAAATTCCTTAATTCTAAATCTAAAACCCATTTTCAATCTAATTAATCTTAACCCAACCTATTTAATCTCTTTCCTAATTCAACTCTAAATTTTTCACTCTTAACCCCAATTTCAAATTAAACCTAACCTATTTTCCTTATTCTTAACTTTAAACCCGATTCCCTTATTTGATCTTATTTTTACCCTAAGCTCAGAATATATATCAAATCCACTTCTAACTATTCAAAACCTTTTTACCTGGATACCAAACCCGATTCTTTTTATAGCTATCCTAATTAATTAACAAATCTACCTACTAGGACATTTGTCCCGCACCTAGTAACAATGATTGAACTTTGGACATTCTATTTGGAGAAAACTAGACAATTCTATAAACATCTTCGGTCTCTCAAAACGATACTTCATTGGATCATTCCTTCTAGGAAGCCAAGAATTTTTGAAGCCTTACATTGATCATTTAGGAAAAATTGGCTACAAAGAATAAAATCTGAAAAAAAAAATCTCTTTGTTAATAGAAATATGCAAAAAAAAAAAAAAAAAAGAGAAAATGAAGTCCGATATTTATTCTCAAATATTGGCTACTCTCTGTCTTATTCTAACAGTACTAAGGTTCCAATTTCATCATGGATCCGTAATATCTGACTATTCGATATCAGTCACAAACCTCAAAGACCTTTATTAGCCACCTTTTTGAGGTTTCAATAGAAGACCTGAATGATTCTAAATGATTCTAAATCCTTGCCTTGAATACTAAGGCCTGAAAAAAAAAAAAAACAGGATACATCATTTTACGAAGCTTTTGCACTTTACGTCCAGATCTGTATAACCCTTTATTTAAACTTTTTAATTAGCACCAGCATCGACCCTCTTGTGTTTCAAACTGGCACCAAAGACTACTCTGTTTAGTTCGTCTAATCAAAGCTTGTAAAATTAGATAAGTAAACTGTCCAAAAAAAAAAAAAGGAGCTAAGTTAAAAAAAAAAGGGGACAAGTGAAAATATATATACATATAAAAAAAAAAAAAAAAAAAAAAAATCACTTGAAGATAAAAGCTAAACTACGATGACATCAAGAATGACATTTAAAAATGACATTTATCTACGATAACAAGACCACGATTTTTAGAACGAATGGCGACGAATTTAAAACGACTATAGTTTTAAAAATAATACACTAAAAGAAAGAAAAAACTTGAAATGACGTGGAACTAAATAAGAGAAGTAAAGAAAAAAAAAAAAAAAAAACAAAATGAAAAAGGATACATTGATTCTGCAAAACCCATGTTTTACGATTGGTTCCACATGACCGGAAAATAGCCGTAGTTTATCTGAGTAATTATACTGCAAATACCAAGAACGGCAACAAAACCTGAAGGCCTACTGGAAATAGACATGAAAACGCTAGAAACTACGGCAAAATCAAAAACAATATTTGGAAGTTCTACCTAGAGAATTCTAGACAACTTCTTAAAAACTTTCGATCTCTAAAAACGATGCTTCTTTGAAACGTTACACTTAGAGAACAAAGAAGCCCTAATTTACCTTCTTATCCTAATACCTACCACTAGTAGGGCGAAAAGGGGAGTTCTGGCACACTTTTTCACACCCCTATATGAAATCATGTTTAAAAATCATTTTAAT